CCTCTCTTTTCCCCTCTCCCTCTAAAATCAATCAATAAATTTTTTTTAAAAAATCCAAGAAATTCAGGGATGCATAAAAAATTCAGGGATACATTAGAAAAATGATGAAGACCTTTTAAATGAGGAGAGATGGGGAGATGAATAATGACTAACTTTTCATCAACTTTCTGTATTGGTTCAATACTTTATACCTTGTGCATGACTTCTTTTATAGCATAATTGCATTTAATTAACATCAATTAATTCCTTTATTAATAAAAACTTAAAAAGTTGAGCTCTGGCTGGTGTGGCTCAGTGGATTGAGTGCCAACCTGCAAACCAAAGTGTCGCCAGTTCAATTCCCAGTCAGGGCATATGCTGGGTTGGGGTCTGGGTCCCCAGTTGGGGGCACATGAGAGGCAACCACACATTGATGTTTCTCTCCCTGTTTTTCTCCCTCCTTTCCCCTCTCTCTAAAAATAAATAAATAAAATCTTTAAAAAAATTTAAAAGGTTGATAATGAATACTTCAAAACACAAGTAGCATGGGGTAGGGATCTATCAAGAAACTGACATTTTGTTCAGCAATTTGTCAGTGTGGAAGCTAGAAAATAAAACTTGGTTATGTTTTATATTTTATAATACTTAAATATGTCACTACTCAGATTCAATAACATTATAATTTCTTCTTGCACTCTTTCCCGAAATACAGATCTTAGGAGAGAAAATCCATCAGAGAACAGGGTATATATCTTTCTCATTTTGTCCCTTCTTTGTCGACCTAAAATGTCTGTCGTTGCTTTGCTCATAGCTTTATGAATAAGACTCAGCTTATACCTGGAAGTTTTGCTGCTGCTCTGGGGCAGCTTGGCACTATGTCAACCTAGCCAAGCTGGAACTAGGCTCCCCGAGTTCTCTTTCCTATGTGGTTCTGTATGGTCATGAGAAACAGTCTATGTGAAATTCAGAAGGTGGAAAGGAAGAAGTCATATTTTTCATGCTCTGAAACTTGTTGCTCATCTCCCACTCACTTATGTGGTGAGGCAGGCTTGCTCCAACTCTCACCTGGTCTCCTCCTTCAGCACCTCTGAGTCCTGGGCCAGGTGTGTGTGCAGCTCTATAGCAATGGACACCAGCTTCTCCTGCAGGTCACCCACAGCATCAAGGGTGGACATGGTGAGAGACAGAAGCAGGTTCCAGTTTGCTCTCCTTGATCCCAATGTGTCCCCTTGCATTTCAGTTTGTCCTTGCTCTCCTCTACATCTAGCCTTCCTTCTTATCTGCTCATCTGCTAGACGAACAGTAACTTCAGGCTCAATACTAGATACAGAATCAACAGCCCAAATAGACTGCTCTACCAGCTTCCACATTTGGCTAAGATCTATCCCTTATAATAAACCCTTTCCTCTACACATGTGTAGCCATTCTGCTTCTCAGATGCAACTCTGATTGCTATAAAGCTTCTACGCACATCATCTTCTTGCCTTTGTGTTTTGAACTGTATGTCAAGCCTCAAAGCCATAATATCCACTGTATTTGGAAGGAGAAGAAGCAAGTATTTGGTGGTAGAAGAAAAGGAAGAGATGCTTAGAATGGTAAAAACTTATGTAGGAAGCTCCCAGAAGCTTCTCAATTTGAAAAATGCTTATTCCAATTATTAATTTATTGCCTCTTATCTCCAAATCCGCCTTTGCATGCTCTGCTTGTGAAACTGAAGATGGACCCTGTAAACATTTTCCCTTTGTCCACTGGGGGCACTGGAGGGACACTGGAGGAGAAGGGAATTCTCTCCCCCATTCTGTTGTGCTGGCCAACTTGTTCCTGTGGTGGGTGGAAGTCAGCAGCCCAGGACATCCAGTGGTGCTCACCCCTAGGGATTTTCGGTGGCACCATTTGGGAGACTTCTCGGTGGGTTTTGCCACCACTGCAGCAGGCAGCTTCCCAGGGAATTCCTCAGACACCTTGGTGGGCACTTTCCTTAGTGATGCTCAATGAGTCTTGCAGACTCCCCAGTGGATGGCATCCTAGCAAGTTGGGCTGACATTCCAGAGGGCTGGTTTCCTGCTCTCCAGCCCTGGTCTGTGGCATCTTAGGGAACGTCTCTGCCACCCAGTGGGCCCCTTTCTGTGTGGTCTGGTGAGGAGAGGGCCCTCTTCTACATTTCTTTCTCCCTTGGGTACCGTGTCTCCGCATTAGAGGGAGTGGTTGCTTTTACATTTGCTGCTCCTGTATTCATTAGAGTTTCCTTTACTTCTCAGTAGGTAACCCCCTGCTACTACTTAATAAAATTTTATGTTAAACTTTTCCTGTGTGAATTACTGTGTGCGTTCTGTCTCTAAACTAGGCCCTGATAAAATTGTTTTTGCTCTTAAAAGTTAAAAAAAAAGAATAGAACTTAATTTTATTAGTTTAGCATTTGGTTTAGAAGGAACATAAATTATTTTTCATGTGAGTATGTAAGGGAAGGCATTGCCCAAGTGTGCAGTCTAGAGAGGTTATTTGCTTTCTTTGGCCGCCAATAAGGAATATATTTCTCAAACCAGGCTCTATGGGCCCCTGTGAGCAGACCCTGCATCCACTGTTGCTATGAAACAAACCACCCTGAGCACAATGGAGAAAACGATGATCATTTACTACTTCTCACATCTGACTGGGGGACTCCGATGTCAGTCACATGACACATGATGAAAATACTGGAAGGGTGAAGAGGTGGGGCTCACAATGCACTCTCCCAAAGGGTCCAAAACATTATTGAGGGTCTGCGAGTGTAAACAGTATTTTAATTTTTTTCAATTCAGTGAGAAAATAAATAATGTAATCCCCATCACAGGACTTCAATGCCTGTATTTGAATTTATGGGCTTGTTCTCGCCAAGGGACCATCTTAAGTGAGTATGTATAACAATCTTTATTTCTTTGTGGAATTATAGCTATTTTTTTACTTATTCATTGTATTCCAATTAACAGTCACTATCATCGCCGATGTGCTTGTCATAAGCTTTTATAGACATATATACAGAAAAGTGTGCAAACTCTAAGTGTGTAGTTCATAAATTTCAGTAATGTGAACATTCCTGCCTGAGCTGGGTGTTTGACATTTAAAGGACTGTTTCTTACACTGGCTTTTACAGAGGTCATCTCAGGCAGTTACATCAGGCCCGAAGCTTTACCAATGACACACAGAGAGATCCCAGCTCTGGGAAGCAGGGTGTGAGCTGGCCTCCAACCAGGAGAGGAGGAAGAACAGAATGAAACCCAGGAGGTTACTGAAAAAGGCTAAGAGCCATGCAGAGGTAGGAAATAGCCAACTCTGACAGTTTTCAATGGTAGGTTTGCTGCTGAAAACTTGTGGGCCATGAAACCTGAATCTGTCACAGCAGGTGCCACTAAATTTTGATCAATGTGTTTTGATGAATGCCAACTTTGATAAAAATAAATTTGATGAATTGGTTCTTGCTATAACCCACACTGCTCTTGCATGTTTGTTTTGAACAAGGCTGAGCTGATACAGCACAGAGGAAAGTCCGACTTGCTGCAAGTCCTGTGTAACAGCACAGCCTGAGTCCAAGCCCACACCTGAGGAAAATGACGTATTTACTGATGCTTGCCTAGTGTCCTGAGCAAGGCAAGGTTAGGATAGGTAATGGTTCTACTTAAACTGTGCAAGAATGTCCTTCAAGGGTGACCCAGCAATGGACAGTGTAATATGTATGGGTGCTTTTACAGATTACATGAAACATAGGCATGCCTTGGTAGTAATTGTGTGTGTGTGTGTGTGTAATACACTTTACATTTTATAATAGTGTTAGATTTACAGAAAAGTTGCAAAAATAGGACACAGAATTCTCATATACCTCACACCCAGTCTCCCCTATTATTAACATCTTACATTATTATGGTGTAGTTGTCACAGTTAATGAACCAACATAGATACATTATTCACTAAAGTCCAGAATTTATTCAGGTTTCCTCAGCTTATACCTAATGTCCCATTCAGGGACCATGGTGCATTTAGCTGTCATACCTTCCTAGGCTCCTGTTAGCTGCACCTGTTTCTTTTTCTTAGACTTTTCTTGCTCTTGATGTCCTTGCCAGTTTCAAGGAGTGCTGGTCAGGTATTTTATAAAATGTTCTTTAATTGGGATTTGTCTAATGATTGTATTTTAATTATTTCTGGCTTATATGGAATTGTTAGTTCCTTCAGACATGACCCAAAAATGTCTGCATCAGAAAATGCTCCTCAAACACAAAACATCTGAGAACCACTGCTCTACATCAAAACAGACTGTAAATGTACATAAGATAAGTGAAGTTGTTAAGATACTTATTCCACCATTCAAACTTCAATGTCAAGAAGCAAGGTAGGTTAATGGACCTGTTCCACAATGATTGGACAGCCACCTCAGCTTATAAACTGACTGCACATCACCTGAAATGGTCCAGGCCGTCAACCACCCACCCTCATTCCGCAGAGCTAACTCAGAAGGGAACACAGTGGCTTTTTACCCAGGGGTCCTCATGGTAATGGTTCATCCTAAAGGAAAGGGGAAGGTGACACTAAGCAAAATTACATTCTAAGTTGTGCCATAGTTTTCAACAGAAAATATTTTAAAAGTACAAGCAGGAACAAAATCAAACCTACTCTCCTCTTTGGTTTTCAAATGAGAAAAGTCCAAATTAGAGAACAGAAAGGATTATATACTATTAATTTGTAATGTCTGGTAACATAGAAGTATTCTAGTTGTGGAAAAGCTATTACTGATATTCTAGTAATTAAGTCTAACTTAGAGACCAAAAACACTTTAGGAGTCCATTCTGCTCTTTCTTAATAATGAGTAAGGTCACCAGCCATAAGTGTTTGGAGCATTGAACATTATTGGCAATGCTGGAACCCGTACAATGCTTATTAGATAATTAAAAATGACAATATCTGATATGTTCCTTGGAGCTTGAAATTAAAATATTTGCAGTGGAAATACACACAGGCCTGAAGACGCGTTCTGTGAACCAGAACGTACTCACCGTGTTGGCCAGTTCTAGATAGCTTCCTCCCACAGAGCTGCCGAAACGAGGGGCCTGTGTGAGCAGTTTGTGGAGGGCAGCAGCCTGCTGGTGCGAAGAGCTCCCGCCATACTCAAGAAGCTTCTGCAGAGCCGACTTACTCTGGAGGTCTGGGCTGTGGAGGTCCCTGGCACCCGAGTCGTATTCCCAGCTCTCCCTGGCTGCTGATACGGCTCCTAGGAGAAGCAGGGAAAAGAAAAAAAAAGATGCTTTCTTCATTAGCCTGTGGGTGGCCAGTGGGCAATGATTTGGAGCCTCCTAATGCTTCCTTGTGCCAGCTAGTCGGAACACATGTGGTGCCCCGGCTGCATGCTAAGCACTTTCTCTTTCAAATTAACACACGGGGAGCCTAGAGATAAAAGCAGTTTTAGGCAAAGCATTCAGAAATAACTATCTGATGAGTATGTGCCTCCACAAACAGAAATGTTCAGCACAAAAGCATTGGAGAGCCAAGAAAAGGGAAGCCAGGTCAGAGCCACATCTGTCTGTGATTTACAGAGAGTTACTGGGTGATGAGGCCTCTGACTATAATTCCTTTTCTAGCCGAGGAAGAAAGAAGCAAGAGAAAAGACAGAAAGTTAAGATATGACACTTTAATCATAATTTTCTGTTGTCGGTGTACTCTCACCTAGAAGGAGCTGTAGGAAACTGGACTGTATCTGCCAGTGAGGGGTAGCCATGCGGCTGAGCCCTGAGTGATAGAATGTGAACGGAAGCGATAAGGACCATTGCAGGGCCTGGCTCATAAGCCCCCCAGTGTGTGATTCTCCAAGCCCTTTGCCTTCGGGCCTTGTTCAAATGGGCACGGTGCCCTGGGAAGCCATGTGGTACAGATGGTGAAGCCACAGATGGAAGATGTCAGGACCCCTGAATTATCTCCTACAGCGGGGCTGTCTGCTGATCCCAGGTGCCCTGTTTTGACTTTATACGATTAGGAAAGGAAAACTTCTTTTGTGTTTGATTCACTGTATAATTTTGGTTTGTTTGTGAGAGCAGCTAGTATTACCTTAAATATTACAGCAGACTGCAACCTAATAAAATATGCTAGTAATTATAATACAATGGGAAAGTACAATAAAAAAGTGGACCAAGAGAAGAGGTATATAACCCAGCCTCTTGGAGATGGGTGGGGAATATCTGGGAAAAGCTTACTGAAGGAGAAAGCCTGACGCTCCTCACTCCCACTAAAAGAAAGTAGGTTTCGGGTAAGGCCTGAACCTTGTGTTGCTGGCTACTCAGTAGAAGTCTTTGTGGATACAGATAGTGGAGCTTGGATCACATGCCCCTTGGCTGCAGGAGAGGCTGGGAAACTTTTTTCTGGCTGCCACCTTGGGGAGGTGGGATGTGTAAGGCGAGACCTTTTCTGAACACGAGGTCAGAAGGTCTGAGCAGCCAGAAAATGCGACAAAGGCATGTGCGCCGTCACTGTACTTGGTGCTGAGGGTATAGTGGTGAGTTCAGTAAAGCTGTGGTCCCTGCCTGCGGAGTTTTCATTTTGGTGAGCCTTTGAAACATGGCTTTGTTGGGGAAAAGATCATTAAACATTATTTTTTAATTACAGTTTACATTCCATATTATTTTGTGTTAGTTTCAGGTGTAGAGCATAGTGGTTAGACAATCATATACTTTACAAAGTACTTCCCTAATACATGACTTTTAATGACAAAAAAGGGACTCATTAAAATGATTCAATTTGTACTATGAAATGAGAACACACACAGATTATTATACAATTTACCTGAGTATAAGTATATATAGTAAACTGCAAATTAGTGCAACAGGTTCTGATATAAATTTCCAATCTCCCCTTACTGGATATTAGTGAACTGAATCCATGTGATTGGAAACTGTCCTGTCTGGGACCACCGCAGATGGCCCCCCTTCACTGTTCAGGTTCTGCTGATCTTCGGTCAGTCCGACCCAGCACTCTTCTTGTACAGCGCTGCCCAGCAGGGGTGACAAGTTTCTGCATCAGTACAGACAGGTCTGTCATTCTGTTTGCAAATGCTCAAGGTTTGTTTTAATATGAAAGCCTGTCAACTGTATTGCAAGGGCGGTTTTGCTTTCCGTCAACACAGACTGCACAATGCCAGTCCTTTGTCCCCCTGCTCCTTCGAATGGTGTCTGTCATCTGCCGAGCTGCCTCACAGTCTCTGTCCTGGCCCCAGCAACGTGAGAAGACTGATCAAGGTCAAAGTTGAAAAATGGGTTGAATCACAGATGGCCTTCTACCTCCTATATAAGACAAATAAGCGCAGAGTTGGGCCCTGAGCATCCCCAGTACCTTGCACGTGGCCTGTGACATGTCAGGCATTTAATAGCCATTATCTGAATGGATTGCTGAATTATCCATGGGTGTAGTACTGTAGGATTTCATTTCTTAAGTGGGGAAAAATCAACATGGAGATTAATTTTGAAAATCAAAATAAATTTGGCACTTGAACTTTTTCAGTATGCAAACAGGGAGCCTCATTTTCAAATAATAAAATACAACAGTTCTGGGATAGACGACCCAAGGAAGCTTCATTTTAATTTATTATGCTTTATTAACAGACCTAAACACAGTTTCTGGCAGAGTCATATAGTCAGGTTAGCCAAGTTCCAGGTTAGTCAGCAAGATCAAAAGGCCCTGACACTATTACCCTAAACACTTTTGGCTGAAGTGATGCTGAGGGACTCAAATCTTCTGCTAAGGAGCCAAGTCAAATCCTATTAGCATTCGTATAAGTAAACCCGAAACAGGGAAGTTCAGTTTTTTTAATACAGTAGACTATTCCCATTACTGTGTTTTAATCTGTGTTCATACCAGATTTTTCCTGAATAAAAACCAACATTCCTGAGGCAAAAATTTGTCATTTAATTGGGATGAGCTCACTGAAAAATGTCAAAAATGTAGGTCTGGTTATCACCTTCCACCTTCCTTTTGATCTTTGAAGCATGATGGTACTGATGCTTCTAGGTTCATACTCAGCCTCTTGCCAGCCTCTCTTCACTCTCTTACTAACCTCAAAAAAAAAAAATAAATAAAAGCCTGTGACCCTAGGGTGATGGCTGTGCTTGCTGGAAACCATTCCAGTTCTACTGTCCCCCATGCCCACTGAGCTCTTTGGTGTCTCTACTAAAGACACTAATCCTGCCTTGGCTGGTGTGGCTCAGCGGACTGAGCATGCCGGTCTGTGAACTGAAAGGTCACTGATTTGATTCCCAGTCAGGGCACATGCCTGGGTTTTGGGCCAGGTCCCCAGTTAGGGAGGGGCATGTGAGAGGCAACCAATTGATGTATCTCTTGCACATCAATGTTTCTCTCCCTCTCTTTCTCCCTCCCTTCCTCTCTTTCTAAAATTAAATAAATAAAATATTAAAAAAATTAAAGACACGAATCCTATCATGAGGGCCCCGTCATCATGACGTCGTCTAATTCTAATTACTTCCCAATATCCCCATCTCTAAATACCATCACATTGGGGGTTAGCACTTCAACATACAAAGTTAAGGGAACACACACACAATCCATCCATAATAACCACCGAGCAGTTGTTTTCCAAGCCAGTGAGGAAACTGACTGCATGGCATCCTTTAAATACCAAAGGCCAGGTCATACCCTGGCTTCAAGCTCTCTGCACACATAGAAGCAAAGGAAGTCATAATTTCTGCAACTATAAGCCTGCAGGGTGCTCTGAAGTAAGAGGTGAGGTGCATTCTTTGTTTTTTAACCAAAATATTTAGTGACAGAGCACAGACTCTAAATGTTTTACTTATTGGAAAAGCACAGGAAACATGTGGCATTCTGACATGTTCATAAAATACATCACTGAGAAAATCTTGCTTTCAGAGAGAATGCTGGAGTAGAAAATCTGCCAAACACTGTGATCCCACCTCTGCTGGGTACTTGGCAGCTACGTGCTAGTGCTTTAATCCCCTCTTCAAAGTGCCACCCGGGTTTGGCTCCGAGGCTTGCAATTACTGTGCTCATTCACCAAAGGCACTGTGCCACCTTCCTAGGGGGCAAGCCCCCTATGAAAATAAGGCAAGCTGAAGCATACAGAACACATGAACTTTGCCTAAAAGATAGCGACGACAGTCATGACACCTAACATCTTTTTAAAGACACTAGGGAGCCAGGCACTGTTCTAAGTATCTTACATATCTTACTCAGTCCTACCCACGGCCTAAGAATGACTAAACCATTTTTTCCATTTTTAGAAAAGGACATTTTCTCTCTTTCAGCTTAATTTTGTAGACATTGCTCGTTTGCCCAGAATAGTGGTTAAGAGCTGGGGTTCTGTAGTCAGATTGCTTGGGGTCAAATCAAGACTCACCATGACCAGCTATGTGACCTCAAGTAAGTTATTTTAATCTAAGCTTCAGTTTTCTCATCTTTAAAATGGGAACAATAACATATACTTCATAGAGATGTTGTAAGAATTAAATAAGGTTAAAATACATAGAACATATTAGACCATGCCTGGCATTTGATGAACTCATCAACACATGTTAGCAATTATCTAGTCACACCTCACAGTTTTAGTTATTTGAAACCCATTCTGGACAACTTAATAGGGAACAAATATATGGGAAAAATCTATACTCTTTCCCAGCATCTGAAAATTACCTTAAAATTACTAATTCTTGAAAAAAATACAAGCCTCTGGCACTTAACCAGTGGCTGAAGTTTCATTCATAGTTTGTACTTAATATTGGTGCTCAGGTAAACACAATGAAAAGAGCCTGTTAGGTCAGGAACAAAGGTATGTGTCTCCAAGTATGGAATATTCCATTTGTAAGTCAAAGTCTTTGGTTATTTGGTTTAATGGACTTTGATTCCCTATTCTACTTGGCTAATTCTTATCCCCCCAAATCGGTGGCCAGCACCATGAGGGAAACTGCACAGCCCAGCAGTAACAGCGGTAGCTGCTCAAGGCAGAACAGGTATGATGAACACATCAGGTCTGTGTTCCGCCACCCTAACCACCCTTCGATTTTCTACTGCCAGTTCTTTCTTGTCCATCGTTCATGTGAATGCTGGGGCGTCTCATCACATCACAGGCAGATGATAATGCAGAGTGCTTGGGGGATCCTGAGACTTGGATTAATGGTATTTTATAACACTGTCTTGATTTAGTGATCGTTAATCTTTCATTTATGTGGAGTGTTTAGATAACATTGCTGAATTTAT